ATACAAGCATTTTTATTTTTCATGTCAGGGCTGTAATTACATTTGAGAATTGTGGGAGCTAGCACCTATACGACTGTGGCAAAATTCAGTGGTTTTCAAAGCTATCAGGAAGTCACTTATCCTGAATAAGCACCTCATGATTTAAGGTCATCTCAGTTAGAGACCAGGAACTGTGCTGTGGAAGAATAAATATCTCATTGCTCCTGCATTCTGTGTGCTACTGCACAAAGAGAACCTGTCCCCTCCTTCCCCCAACCAAGCAGGACTCTCAGGGTGTGCGTTTGTGCACACGTACACACAGGAGACATTAATGCCAAGAAGTGTTCAAGATGCTGCTGCAGCTGGTACAAGAACTTGCTATAAATCACTGGAATTGCATTCCACAAGTTTCTTCAGGACAATCGAACTATGAAATAAAATTGTAGGGTATCTACCATTGTGTGGCCCTGGTCACAAATTTAATCCAGTAAACTACAGTTAGAAGGCTACTGCTGTTCTTTTTCTTGATTATTATCTATTTTTGTGGACACATATTATATAATGTGCTTAACACCATCTGTCCCATATACATTTTTGAGTATCAGAAGTTGTTGCTAAAATGTTTTGCAATTTATTTCCTTTTGCACTTGCAGATTTATATAAAGCACATAATAATCGAGCATAATGACAGGAAAAACAAATAACATAAATCTAAAAATCTTATCCTACTTTAATCTTGCTAACTTAAAACTCAAAACTTTGGAGATAGCTGTTGTTCACACAATCTTAACAGAGCAATCTCTCATATTGGGAGGGATTAAATCAGTAAGTCTTGATCTCTATGCCAGATGTCAGCTATTTATTTATTTGAAGGGTAAGCACACTAACACTGACAGATTCAAGTTTGTCTTGCTCCAAGACAGCTACATCTTGTCAGGGACTGACCCAACCCCCAACACCTTCACTTCATATTAAGGCTGTTTAGCTTGTAAGTGAAGAAGAAGCATGCATGAATGGAACTGGACATTTTACAAGGAATGGAAGAATCCTTATCTGTCGATTCCCATTTTGATATTTAGGGACTACCATTCAGCTATATCATCCTTAAGTGGCATTTGGGCTCTTGAGTAACTGTTCTCTGTGTAGCTGGCCTGAAGTACCCATGATCAAGTTTATAATACAAAGATATGTCTGCAGAACCCCTCCTCACATACCTACACCAGAGCACGTCACTTTTCTCTACAGTAAACCCCAAAGTGAAAGTGTTCATTTCTACTTTCTTGCACATTTGCTTCATGCTCTGAGGTCTTTGGCAAGGTTTTTGATCCTGATTCTGGTTACTTGCTCTTCAAGCTCTACTTTGCTCTTTCTAATTCTGCTTTGACAATTAATTGGCCAACTGTGTAATGCTTTTCCTAGTTCATTTGGATACAGTCCAGGCTTGGACATTTGATCTCTCATTTCTAGTAATCTTCATGTTGATTTGCTGTAATGCTCCTGAAAGCCACTCCAAATGGATTACAGGCACTGGTACTGCCTGATCAGTATGTCTCCAAAGCATGAAAAATTCACTTTTTATAGACATTTTATCTTCTATTACAGAAGTAAGATTTTTTTTTTATTTTTGCTTTCTTTTAAGTTGGTAAAGCTGTGGTGTCTGTTTTTAGTCATTTCTGATAATGCAGGGGTGGCTACCAAGAACATACCCACCCTTGGCATGGATGCAGAGCTATTGCTATCTTGTCCCCTCTTTGGAGGAAGCAATGGGAGTCAACACAGCTGTTCTGCACAACCTCCACAATGAATGTTCAAGGGAAAACAGAACAGCAAAGCCATAAACTTACCTGAGCAAGACTGTAATGGTCTAAATTTACAGTAACGAGAAATTTTAATTTGATACCAGAAACTGCAAGGAACAGATGAGGTCACGTTTTGGCTAACAAATGTAATATTCACTGCTGCTGTTAGGAGGCACTTGTCTAGGACTAAGGTCATTACTGTTATTTATAGTAAGAAAATTACTAGCAAAAAAAACCAACATCGAAGCAATGCACAACAGCAATTTACAGAATTATAGAATAGCAAATAAACTCATAAATAATATGGATACTTGGGGGTAGGGGATGGGCGAATCAATTTTCTTAAGAGGACAGCTTTTTTACTAATTAATGACTATTTATTTAGCATATGTAAACCAGAAAAATCTCTATTTCTAATTATCTTAGCTTTGTGTTACCAGTTCTGTTTTTTTTCCTTTGTTTAGCCCCTTCTATAAGTCATATTGCCCAGTACACAAGTGTATTACATAAGTATAGGAAATATATATATACTCATGTTGGTAAATTATTTTTAAGAGGAATTTCATTTGAGCCTCATTTCAAGCTCAAACATGGAAAAGTGGTGACATTGATGAGTTACTTATATTAGGGTACTGTTTGTCCTGAATATTGATTTGAACACAGATAAATCAAAGATATGAATTTTTGGCATATTCCCACTTGAGATGCAAAACTTTCCTCTATTTCTTCTATATCTCTGCATAAGAAGGCAAAAAAAATTGCACAATAGCATCTAACTGTGCTACTCCTAGGCCTTCTCCCAGGGTAACCCAGACAGATATGAAAGTCTGAAGGACAAAAGTTGCTAGGGAAACAGTGCAGTTTGAGCACCCCTCTACACCAACCTCTTCTAATACTTAAAAAGAATTTGTATAGGGGAAAGGATCTCAGGGTTGATATATACAGACTTATATGAATATTAGCAAATAAACAGAGCCTTTTGTCCCTTTATGCATGTTGTCCTTTCATAAGGAGGCAGGCTTGCCACTTCTATTTTAATCTTTCTTTAAAAGTACTAAGTATCAGTTCTTCAATATTTAATACTTTTTTCATTGATGCTTAGTGTTCAGAGTTAATCTTCAACTTTTTATACCATATAGCCTCTTTATATTTTGTGAGTGAGAAAGGAAATGGAGAATTTCAAGACAGGGCTAATGGTTTGCATTGACTAGAGATAAATATATGTTTTCAACAACTTCAGAATATAATGAACCAATAAAGAGCTCTAGAAAAGAAAGAAAGAAAAGAAAGAGAAAGAGAAAGAGAAGAAAAGAGAAGAAAAGAGAAGAAAAGAGAAGAAAAGA